TAGGCGCCATTTTGTATGTTGTAAAGGGCATTTCTTTGGAATGAAACGCTGCAAGTAATAACCGAGAAAACCGCAACGAGTGTTTGAGTTACGAAAACAAAGTAATTCTGCAATGAAAGTACTGATTAGTGTCATTGAAACTGGCATTGGGATGGTGGGGCTATGTCCGTAATACGAATTTTAGAAACTTTTTTTATATGAATCTCCATACTGAACCTTCTATTCTTCGGCACGTTTAAAATACCGTTAAAATTCTAAGTCTTACAGGTCCATTGCGCACGCGCGGTTCGAAATTTCTGGCTATGTTCAATCTTTGTTTCTTGTTTCATCTGCAGTGAACTGAGCGTGCGGAGTAAAGCTAACGTTTTTAACTCCGGTAGCACGAAATGCTTGGCCTTTTTGGTGCTCTGAATAGTAACGCAGGCTTTAGCTGCCTTCTCCAAGGAATATTTCCGCTCGCCATCATCGTCAATAAAAACACTACACATAATACATAACTTGTGATGTATATAGACCGCTTTATTTACGTAACGTATAATCTTCTAGTCTTCAAGAGTCCAGGGAGCCAAGAGCTTCAAAGTAGCATGGAGAGGCTGGGCAACAACACCAACCAACAGATCAGTTGTTGCCAGACAACGATACAAGACTTTGGACGGCGGGTGGAGGGAGAAGAATTCCCAAGAAATGCTGTGACGGATAATAGAATGTGCACCACTCTAAAACAAAATCTATCGTTAATACAACTCATCCACCGAAGGGGTGCATAAACCTAATACTTCAAAGCTAAACTGTGCTTTACCTCCTATTAAATTTGTTGTCGCCATCACCTCGCAGCTCAATAAACGGTTGATTCCTTTTTCCCAAAAGTTACCTTTTATTGCAACTAGAATCAGCTAAGCAACAAGTTCTTTAATCCTGCTTTCCCAGCAGCATCTCCCTAGAAACTTCCTCAAATACGTTTGTTTTCTTAAATACGTTTACAGCCTCCCAAGTACGTCACAGAGCTCGGGTTTGCTGCATTAATTATCTTTAATTCTGAAATGTGACTTGCAGTGAGGAAAAAAACATTTTTTTGGCAAAAAGGGTAAATGAAAAAGAAATATGTGCTCAAATGTTCCCCTTTTTTTCCTTGTACAAATTTCTTGGAAAAAAGCGATCGGTTATTGAGAGCATTAAAATAGAAACTTCCTTAGTAACGTCCTCTCACATAAGCGCGAACACGGGCTCACCGTTCTGTCACAAGATACGCCAGTTTCCTATTGGGAGTTGGGAAAATGTCTTGTGTAAAAATCACTTTTTAACCTGTCTTACTAATAAGTAATTCTGTGGCACATCAGCCCGTCTTTATGCTAAAAAAGTATCCAACTTTTTTTCTGTTCTAGAGCACAATAAACGATAAAAATATATTAAGGTAGAATTTCTATCACTCAATTATGTGCGTGCGTTTTTTTACCCAAACAACGCACAAACAACGCAACGTGTTTACTCAAACATCTTTCCATGTCCTTCAATTGTCCCAGCGCGACTGAAACATAGGTTACGTCTGATTTTTTAATTACCGTTAAGAATTTTAATTCAGATGTTAACATATAAGATCTATTTTAATCAATGTTTGAAGCTATTTAAA